ACTTGGAGAAGAAAATAAAGGACACCAGATGTTGGTGAAAATGGGTAAGACTCTTCTAATGAATAGTTACTTAATGTCTTAAGAAAAAGCCATCTGCAAAATGTAGGTCATAGTACTAGTCAGTCATTAGAAGAGCCAGGATCTAGTGTTGTTTTCCATTATGTTATACTTATTCTTAAATTATAAAATGCTATATTAACATAAACTATTATTATATAAAATTCTTTGTTTCTAATGTTGGCAGCATTTCCTTAGGCATTTCTGAAAATGTCAGGTGCTAAAAAAATAGGCTCAGTGTAATCATTTCTGGAAAGTTAAAAATTCAATACTGATTTTTAGCTTTCTACTAGACAACTGGTTTGTACCTTCCAAAGACTTCTCAACATTCTTGTTAGAGGTTATGTTAAGATGCATTATTTCACAAATTAAAATTCACTTGTAGATTGATAAATGTCCATCTCATCTTTTTTCCCCAAGGATGGAGTGGATCAGGTGGCCTGGGAGTGAAGGAACAAGGCATTCAGGACCCGATTAAAGGGGGGGATATCAGAGATAAATGGGATCAGTACAAGGGAGTGGGAGTTGCTTTGGATGATCCATATGAAAACTACCGCAGAAACAAAAGTTATTCGTTCATTGCACGTATGAAAGCCAGGGATGAATGTAAGTAAATTGGTTGAGGTTCTCCACTAAGAGAGCAGGGCTCTCACATTGCCTAGGCTACGTGGCTAGAATTTAACATGGAAGATTCAGGAGTTAAAACTTTATTGTTGTTGGGAACTTTGTCTTTTTTGAATTTTGTTAATCTTTTTTGGAAAAGTTTTGCTATAAGTAAAATCACTTCTTTGTTGTCTACCCACTGTGTAGCCTTTCTGTCCTTTGTTAGAAATCTTAATCCTAAATTGAAACTTGGTATGGAAGTCAGGATCATAGTAACAACTCAGTTTTACCAAGGTGTACTACTCTGAGGGAGTGACAGGAAACAAGATGGGAAGAACATGGCATGCAATACTGACAAGGCCCACCACCTGAGTATAACGGAAACCGCATACGTACGCGTGATCTGTGATTCGAACACTTAATATCAAAAAATATCAAAAGAAAAAGGATATGGAAGCCCTTAGAACCGTTCTTCACCATTTACAAGTGAACTTTTGTCCTTTCCAGTGAAGTGTGAAAACCAAGATCCCCCACCCCGAGTAGGAATCCTTCAACTGAAGAAGTGGGTATCTTACACCTTTAAATCAAATTTGAGCATCTTATATAAGCCAAAACTAGTGTCTTGAGGAAAGGATATTAAGTGATTGCCATTAGCCAACAATGAAGTAGATCAAAAGCTATGATGTGCTTTAACCTACCTTAAAATTATTGGTTGTGTAGTAATAAAAACTAAGGCTAGACTTTACTACGCAATATTTAAAGTAAAAACAAAATACCCTTTTGTTTTGAAGATGACCTGCATTCTTTTTTTTTTTTTTTAATTCCATTTGGTTTAGTTTTAGTCAAATGTATATTTATCTAAGACTATCCCTAATAGAGCTCATTCAAAGCCTAATTCCTCTAGGACATGCTGACACTTAGGATTAAGTTTATACTTTTCTCAAATGTTAGCTATTTGAAATGGATAGATGCTATCGGGAAGGAGCAAACTGATATGAGGACATAGGGCTAAAGCATCTTCCTGTTCTGGGAATGATGACCTTTGAAAAAGCTATATATACTTAATGTTTTTATTTATAGGAGGACCTGAACAACAGCACCTGTGTGCTCACAGCCCACTCAGACTGTCTTGGGCATCTAAGGCAGTTAAAGATTCTACAGCTCTGAATTCATCATTTTTATATTGAAACCAAAATAGCAAGGGGAGGTGGAAGAGGAATAGAAAGTATAAATTATCATTATGAGGCATTACTGGAAACCTCAAGAGAAGCAGTTTTCTTTTCCTGGACATTACCTAAACACACTAACAAGTATGTGACAACGTGCAGAGCTGAGTGCTGTGGGCAGCTTGGTGCAGTGCCATCTGTTTGTACAGTTAACAATTTTGGAACCTTTGTTTTAAAAGATGCAGAAATCTCTCCCAAACTCTTTGACCCAAGGTGATGAAATATTTGATTCTGTTCTAGATTTCCTGTAGCTGTGAAACTATTCAACTGTGTCTGATTCAGAATAAAATGTCAACGTGTAATGTTACAAATTTCTTGTGGATTTTACTGTTTTGCCTTCAAATAAAGACTTTTTATAAAGAAATATGTTTAGTGTCTTAGTTTAGAAAAAGGGAGTTTTGCTTGCTTGCTGTTTTAAGAAGTCTAGGAGTGGATAATGTTATAAGCACAGCTCAATACCCCTCGTTTGAATTATTTAATCAAGACTGTAGTAAGGAAAATTACAAAAGTCACTGTGCTTTAAATATCCATGATTTCATCAATGTGGACATCCTTTCACCAGTGCTTCTGCTGCATGAGCTCTTGATGAGCTGAACTGGCCAACCTTCCAGGCAAGGGCTTTACCCACTAACACATAAAGCCTTTTCAGACGAGCAGGACCTGTAGCATTTGTACTTTGCCAGGCAAGCTTTTAAGAACCATGGGATATCTCTATGTCAGTCAACAAGCATTTATTAAGTACCTACTGTGTTGCCAGATGTTGGGAATGCAAAGACAAAAATGAAGCAGTCCCTTGTCCTCATGGAGCATACACTCAACAAGACGATGAAATAGAAACTGAAGCTTTAGTGACAGCTGGAAATTCACAAATACTCTAAGCATCCAGATGGTAGGAGAGAGTCCATCTCATTATGGAAATAGTGTTCTCTTTGGGAGACTTAATAACAAAGGACAAGAAAAGTGCAAATTCACATGTATGATCTCACCTTCTGATCTTTACAGACCAGGAACATTAATCTGTTTTGGAGGATTTACCTGTGATTTCTCATCTAAAGAGAAAACTAGGTAAAATAAAACAAAACCCATAATAATATAATTCATTAATTAAGAAAGATACTACAGGCCAAACCAAGTCTTACCCAAATAAAGCAACAGAATGGAAACATTGGTGTTAATGCTGTCCCCTGACACCAATGTTACAGTTTAAAAAGGGGGGGAGGGGTGCTGCTCTTCAGCATGATTATATTCCTAACCCATTGTCCCACATTTCATCCAGCAAATATTTATTAAGCACCAGTTACATACAAGATGTTAGCTACATGACGAAGATTTGATTATAAGCACCAGTATTAACAATTCTATGAGAGTTCTGGTAGGTGCTTAGTGAATTAATGTTGAGGAAAATATAATCCAAGGAGATTATTTCCAAAGTGGAGGGAAAGAGGGTCATGGAACTCTTCCTATAGGTATTGGACCCTGTGTAAAGAATGTGGAAGATTTAAACAGGGAGAGGATTCTAGGCACTGGGTAAAGTTTGATCAGGGACCTAGAAGTAAAAAAGGGCAAGACAAGCATACCCAGTCACTGTGATTCAGTTTGGCCAGGTGATGGTGACTGCAACATAAGGCTGCAAAGAGTACGGTGGAGGCAAGCCAAAGGCTCTTGAACGCAACTAAAGAAAGTTTCTTCAGTAGGCCACAGGGATTTGTTGAAGATCGAAGGTTGTGGGTTGGGAATTTGATTTTGCAGCATGTGAAGGACAGATTAGGAGAGACAGGAGCCAGGAGACTTTGGGAAGCAGTTTGGATGCTACAGCAATGCTACAACATTGGACTGAAAAAATAGGAAAGATGTTTCAGAGATAGGCCCCAAAGGTCTTGGCAGTTAACCAGATGTGAGACTGAAGAAATGACAGTAGTCAAAGATGATTCTGGTTTGGACATTGGAAAGTTGATGCCAGTAACACAAACTGGGCATTTGAAGGAGGAGGTTTTGGAGGAAACAGTTTAGTTTGCTGATGATGGGACATCTTAGAGGTTATCTGGAGTGCCTTTTGAAGGTGTGGGAATGGATGGAGTAGTGAAAAGACTGAGAATAGCCTTTAGGTTACAACTGCACTTAAGAGTGAAGCTAGGAAGAGGGACTGAGGAGATAGGAGGAGAACCATGACAGTGTCTGAGAAGCTCAAGGAGGAAGGGAAAGGTAGGGGTTGAATATGTGTGCTAGACAGAACACTGGATTTATAGTCACATTACCTGTGTGATCTGGAGTGGAGGAAATAAGATCACCTTCTCTCACCTCCATGTGTTTGACCATGTCCCCAAGTGCCCAGAATCCTCTCCCTCTTCACCTTCACCTCTTGGAATTCCTAGCTCATGGCAAGACTCACCTCAAGCCCTACTTTCTATTAAATATCTTTCCTGATGTCTTTAGCTGTTAGGACTCCCCAAACCCCATGCATAATTACAGTGCACTTATTTTGTATTATCCATATACATTTTGTTTTTCCTCCAGGAGAGTGTAAATTCCTCAAGGGCAAAAACTTTTTTTGCCTGTGTATTCCCAGCACCTATCCTAGAACTTGGTACATACTAGGGACTTAATAAGAACTTGTTAAGTAAATAATCATCTCCAGGGTCTTTTCTGGCTCTAAATCCTATGAGAAGGCTGACCACGGAGTCAAGAAAAACCCCCTTGAGAGGCTAGAACAGGACTAACTGATTGGGAAACCTGAATAGGTCAATTGAGATTTTGTTTCCCAGTACTGGGACATGGATCTCTGATGATTCTGGCCTAGTCCTCTTAAACCACATGGGAGAAATTATATAAAATGTAATTACATTTATAGGTCTAAGATGGGGAATGAGATTTAACAATGCAGTATAGTGGAAGGAGCACTGGCTTTGGGGTCAGAGGACCCAAGTTTGAATTGTGTGTCTGGTACCTGTGTGGCCTTGAAGAAGTCACTTGCCCTCTGTGCTAGAGCTCAGAGAGCTTTACGAACTTTGGCAATTTCCTTTGCAGTTCTCATTCCTATGATGCTCTGAGACGTGATCACATAGCATAGTAGGTTTGATGAGTTTAATAACTTAGTTTTCAAGATCCAAACCTTACCTATATTGGAAGCAAATCTGTCTTCAGCTCAGTGATCCGACATTTCCTTCACAACTTCCTCCAAAGCTTTCTCAATTGTCAGTGGTGGTGACTTGTGCTTCCTAATATACTGCAAGATAACCAGAAATCTGTGAGCTTTGTCACCTAGACATCTCTAGTAACAGTCTATTCGCAGTGTTGGATGTTTGACCTTAAATTGTTCATACGGATAACAGTAGAAAGTCCTATCCACATCAACACTGGAAACACAACTGGCCAAAAAAAAAACCACTAGAGATTATCTCTATGTTTTCTCAGATAAGCAGCAACACAGAGAGAGAAACCTTGGGAAAATAATAGCAACTGATAATACTAGCTCTTCAGGAGCTGGCAGCTGCTAATCATCATCACAACAACTAACATAGAGTACTTTATTTAAGGTTTGCAAACTGCTTTACTATTTATTGTCTCATTCTCATTGATCAATGACGGAGGGAGGTCTTATTATTATCTCCATTTTACAGGTGAAACCAAGAGCAATTAAGGGATTTGCCCAGGGTCACACAGCTGATAAGTATCTGAGGCAGGTTTTGAACTCGGGTCTTTCTGACTCCCAGTCCAATGCTCTATCCACTATGCCTAGATGACTACTGGGGTTCCTTCCAACTCTCAAATTCTGATTCTGTGAGTTTGGGAAACAACACTTGGAGATGGAGGGGGGGTGGTGGAAATAAGTATTTACTAAATGCCTATTATGTGCCAGGCACTGTGCTAAGTACTTTTAAAATATCTCATTTGATCCATGAGGCATGATACAGTACTGATACTGGGGGTAGGGGGAGGGGGAGGACATCCGGGTGTAGTCTACCACGTAGTTAGATTTGGGCAAAACACTTCAGAGGTTTCAGAAAGGATCCTATTGACTAAGGGAAAGTCAGCCCAGAAGAGATGGGAAAAACTCAAAAATCACTTGAGAAAAAATATGATTTTTCAGAAGAGAATGATGTGGATGCACAGGCAACTCTCCGACCAGCCACATAACAATAAACAGAAGAGCATGCCACGAGACTAAAGATAGCATCAGGAATGCTAATGCTGGCAAAGGAAGGCAAGGACAACAAAATGAAGTGTTAGCTATACTGGGGGAGAAAGGCTCAGAGAAGGCCCAAGACTTTTGCTCAGGGTGGATGGAATGATGATGACTAACAACAGCAGCTCCATCCTTACTTGCTTCTATTTTCTCAACCAAGGACAATGACCTTTTGCAACCAGAAACAACTGAACAAAAATGACTAAGACAGTGCTGATACCCAAGATAAGTAAGAAGGCATCATGATGAATTCTTACCACCTGGCAGAGATAAACTAAAATCTTGGGCGGTGAACAAACTGGCAGATGTGATGGCTGAGGGCCAACAGTAATATCTGAAAGATCATGTAAAATGAGAGAAGTCACATAAGACTGGAGGCCTCATATATGTGCTCCTGATTTTCAAGAGACCAGAATCTGCAAACTATAGGCCAGCAAGCTGACTCATTCCTGGGAAAATTTCAGAATGGATCATTAAAGAGAGGTGGGCAAGCATCCAGAAAGGGAAGCAGTGATTACAAAAAAATTAGCATGTATTTAATAACAGGTCACATCAAACTAACCTCTTTTTCTTTTTTTTTTTCTTTTGACAGTTATTATAAATGAGTAGATGAAGAATATTATAGGTCAGTGGTTCTCAGATTTTTGGTCTCAAGACCCTTTTATAATCTTAAAAATTATTGAAGCCCCCAAAGAACTTTTGTTTATGTGGGTTATATCTATTAACACATATTGTATTAGAAATAAAAATACCTTTGTATTACTACAAAAAGGTTTGACTCAAGGACCGCCTGAAAACCTCTTGGGGACAGACTCCTAGGGGGTCCCTGGATCACACTTTGAGAACTACTGTTCTATATTTTTTAGCAAAGCTTCTTATCCTATGGTATTCTTTTGACAAAAACTGGAGAAATATAGATTTAGACAATAATATGATTGGAGAGACTCATAAGTGGTTGGGTAGCTGGACTCAAAGAGTAGAGTTGTTAATGTTTCCATGCCAGCAAGGGAGGAGGTGTCCAGGAGGGTACCCTAGGGATCCAGGCTTGGCCCAATGTGTAGATAGCATACTCAACACATTGCAGATGACACTGTTAGCCAGAAGGAACTGTTAATACACTAAATGAAAAGATTTTATGTGCAAAGCACTGTACTAAGTCCTGGGAATACAAATATAAAGGCAAGATAGTCTCTATTTTTTTTTTTAAAGACAATTGGGGTTAAGTGATTTGCCCAGGGTCACTCAGCTAGTAAGTGTAATGCATTTGGTCTGAGGCCAGATTTGAACTCAGGTCCTCCTGACTTCAGGGCCAGTGCTCTATCCACTGCACAACCGAGCTGCCCCTGATAGTCTCTACTCTTAAGAAGCTCACATTCTAAGGGGAGGAGAGAGCAACAAATATAGGTTTCAGCGGCAAGTCAGATGGAAAGATCCCATGGTCCTTATGGCACAGTGGCAAAAGGAAAGGTAATAATTTTCTTTAATTTCTTCTGACAATAAAGCTATATTAATTTCTGACCTTGAACCATTTGCCACTGCCAAGGACTTTGGTGTTGAGAAATTACTTTTCCAGGTCTTCAGGAGCTGTAGCTGTTGAGGAGGCGAGGGCTGCAGCACCTGCAGAAGCAGCTGCCAGGTCGCATCTCCACAAGGCTTGGCTCTGTGGATGATGGCTACCAACAAGGTCCAGTGGTACAAGAGTTGTTTGGGGCTCACCTATTGAGTGACAGCACTTTGTCAACAAGTCATATTGATAGTATCAAAGGTGATAGGGCCCTTGTCCCCTGGAGTTGCTCTCTTTAGTGATGGTTATGGGGGCCAGGATGGCAGTGGGCCCTGCTATTCCCAGAACTTTGGGGATTGCAATCTTGAAGAGTTATCTCCAAGGTCTCAGAGGAGATGGTGGCAGTAGTTTGACTCACCCGACCTGTGCTGCCTCCTGTGGATGACAGGATCCAAAAGGATCTTAACAGGCTAGAACATTTGGCTAATGAAGATAAAATTCAATAGATGTAAAGTGGCAAGTCTCATACTTGGATAGAAAACATTAACTTCACAAGTATAAATTGGAGAGCCTTGGTTCGGCAATAATTGCTCCAAGGGTTTTCGTGGGCTCCAAGTTCAATATGAGGCAGTAGGTGTCATGTCACAGCCACAAAAGTGAATGCAGTCTTGGATTGCACCTAAGAGAGGTCTATCTTCCAGGAATAAGGAGATGTGAGTCCCAGTGTACACTGCCCTCATTAGACCTCATGTGGATTACTGTGTTCAGTTCTAGGGAGATGTGGTTTCAGAAAGACACTGATAAGAGGGAAGTTATCTGGGGAGGGTAATCAGGATGATAAAGGGACTTGAATCTCTGTCATGTGACTAAATGAGAAAGCACTTCTTAAATACTTCCAACGTGTCAAGGTCTGGGGAAACAAACACAAAAGCCAAGACCATTGCTTCTCTCAAAGAGCTTCCATTCTAATAAATTAGGAGGAAGTACATCCATATGTAGGAATGGTAGCCAAATGAGATACTTTGCATTGCAAAATTACACAGATGGTGACTAGAGCCATTGTGGAACAGACTGACACACCTTCTCCAGATGGCAATGACTTGATTTGATTATAGCTCCAGAACTGAAACAGAAGGAGGTGGAAAGAAAAGGTTAAATGTGCTGGAGTAGCATGCCTGCTGGAGAAAAAATGGCCAGAAAGTGAACTGAAATATGGCTGGAGCTCAGGGACCAGGTGTAGAGGCTGAAGGAGACAATCACTGGTCAGGATGGTAGGGCACCAGGGCAGGAGTTCTAGGTACTGAACTCAACTGAACATCATGAAAATGTTAAGTCTCCAGGGCTTGGATTCTGCTCTGGGGGCCATGGTGACTGGTAAAGAAATGACCAAGGAGTAGATGACATTTGGTTGAAGGAGTTGGGCATGGTCAGCCTGGAGAAGAAACGACTTGGTACGTGACTGTTAGCTTAAGGTATCTGGAGGGCCATCATTGAAGGAGGGTTTAGACTTGTTCTCGCTGTTTGGCTCCAGACGACAGACCCAAAGTAGTGGACAGAAGTTGCAAAGAGGAAAACTTACTACCTTGCAGTAATAGCTAGCATTTATACATAGTGCTTTTAAAGTAGGCAAAGTGTGATCTCAAGCTTGATGTCAGGAAAAACTTCCTAACAGATTTGTCCAAAAGTTGACTGTGCCATTTCAAGAGGTTGAGTCCTTCCTCCTCACAGGTCTCCAAGCAGAGGCTGGACTGAATGACCACTCATCAGGTATGTTGTAATACGGTTTCTTTTTGTGTGTAATTTGAACTTAAGTGCCACCGAAGTCTCTTCCTGTGCTCTGGGGACAGCGAGCCAGAGAGAGGGGAAGCATGGCTTCTGACTGAATACCACAGAATTCCCCAAGGTGTAAAACACGTTCCACTTTTGTCCAGTTCATATATATCATACATAAAGATGGACCACTTGATGGAAATGAGGAACTACTCTGTCCCTGTCAATTCCTCCCCTGTAACAACTCTCACTTTCATCTGCTCCTTTCTGTTCCTACTGCCCACAGCTACAGGTCCCCTAGAAGCTGTACCATTGCTACCCTTATTACCAATCACCTGGCTAGTGGAAAAGCCTTCCTGCCTCCACTCTGCCTCCTCCAATCCTGTGGACCTGAGTTTGAATTCAGGCTCCATCTCTTATTTGTGTGACCAAGGCCAAGTCATCTAACCTGAGCCTCAGTTGCCTCAACTTCAAAATGGAAATACTAACACTTACCTGTACGAACTGTCATATAAAGTTATTGTGAAGAAAACACATTGAGGTTTACCAAGTATTCTCTAAATGGCCGTTGGCTGTTGGCTATTACAGATTATAATCTGGTCAGGTCATTCTGCTACTTCAGTAGCTCTCCACTTACTACCTACCAAGTCAAGTTCAAATTCTTTTGCCTAGCATTCAGCATCCTGCATAATCTAGTGCCATCTAATTCCCTGCCACTATTACATGTCAGCACTTTGGTGAATTTCTAGGATACTTACCTAACAGATATTACAGATATCAGTATACCACCCCAACAGACCGTATAAGCCCATGAGGAGAAGGCCAGTTTTACCTAAATTCAAATCTTCCCCAGGGCCTGGCCTCTGCACCAAGATGGTAGAGAATGGTAGAGAATGGTAGAGAAAATGCTTAATGTTTGCTGAATGCAAACAGTCCTTTTCCCACCTGAAATTCTTTCAGCTTGCAAGGATCACATGTGGGTGATGAATGATGGTGGTCTTCACCCACACTCCTTTTAATCTACTCCTCACCATGTTTGAAATGCTGGCAGACTTGGGTCCTTTCCCTGTGGTCCATGGACACTTCAAATGCCCGGTGCATCCAGGATGCGTGCTCATTTATCAACCCTAATCCTTTCACAAAGTGTTAACACAGGGACAAAAGCCTTCCCCACAACTCACCAGCATTTCAAACGGACATCTCAGAAGCCCCAGGACCAAACTAACGAAAGGTGTGAGTTCAGGCTGCAATCTAGAATAGAACATGTTTGCCACTCCCACCCCAAAACAGGAGGTTTGTGCTACACTTACCTCTTTAACTTCTTCCAATGTATGATAATGGAATGTGTCATCTTCCAGGGACTTCAGGAGAGAAAAATGCAGATACTGGCTGGTCTCCATAAACTGCTTTGTCAATGTCAGCTGCTGTTTTAACATGTCATTCAAAGCAAAGGCTGCAGGACTGTAGGCTGTCAGAGCTGTAAAACATTTAAAAAAAAAAGATTTTATGCTGATATGAAGTTATGAAGTTAAAAATGGCACTACTGTCATCTTTCCATTATTCAGAAGTAAGTCACCTCGTTAGTATACTAGAGAGGTAATTCTTTTGCTTGGCTTTTTGGACATAACACTGAAAGGCATTTCCACCCATAAAACAGGAAAGAAACATCAGATCTTGAATCCTGAGTCTTACACAGTCCCCCACCAGCTATTTCCCCCATTTTTAGGGGGCCAATGCCTAAAGCCCCAGTTCCATTTAACAGCTTAATATCAACTGGCTTTTCAAAGGGATATCCTCTTCATAGAAATATCAAGAACAAATATAAAAGCATTTCCCCAGTACTTCAAGGGCATATTTCCCTGTACACCACCTCAATCTAGGGAGGAGAAGGAAAATTAGGCTAAAAACCTAGCCCAGTTCCTACACAGCACCAGTCCCACCAGGTTCACATACAGATAGGGCATGAGACCGTATCTCAGCCACCACCGCTGGGGTCCTGAAGGTCACTCCCTAAAACCACTCTTTATCTCTTAGGACATCAGCATTTATAATGACAGGATGCCAAGGGAGGTTCTCCTCTCTTCATACTTTAGGACGCTGATGCTGCTCTAGCTACAAAACCCGACCTCTGGGATGTTGAGACATCAAGGAAGCCCTCTGGATCTTTCACACTCACGAGGTCTTGGGCTCTACTCCTTTCTCAAGTCACCAAGCTCCCCCAAGAGTACTGAGGCCGAGAGACCATCATGGAAACTGAGAGGATTTTCTGAATGCTTCTGCAACCAAAAAGTCCCCTCCTCTCCTACAAGGAGGCACTATCTTCTGCCCAGCATTCAGCACATAGAGACCTAATCTGAGGTACTCTGAGCATGCACCAGACCCCTGCACTTTGAGGACGAGCCCACATCTGCTATTTTCCCGGGTCAGGTATCCAAGGCAGGACAAAGAATTTTCTAAGACTTGACAAAACAGTTGATTACTCTCCACTGCTGGTGATTCACCTGGACAAAAATGATACTTCCAGAAAGAGCGCTATCAAAGAACAAAGAGTTTTCAGCAAGAAAATGAAGGCCTTAGGGACACAGGTGGTGTTTTCTTCACTGCTGCCCTTTGAAGGTAAGGGATTCCGAAGAGAAAAGCAAACTTGGGAAGGGAACAGCTGGTTAAGAAAAGGATGTTTGAAAATGGAATTTGGATTTCTGGCCCACAGCTTAAAATACCATAGAAATGACCAGATCTTGGCCAGGAATGAAGTTTACCTAACAACGGCTGGGATAAGAACTCACTGAATAGTGTCAAGAGTACTAAAGCTGAGGATGAAAACTAAAGACAACAAAAAGGCTTTGTTTTTTGTTCGCTGCAAACTATATTGAGAAAAAGAGGAGGATCACAAAATGTATGGGACTGCTACTCAGGGTATATGGGTGATAGCAACTAATAAAAGAGAATGAACAGGTGCTTAAGTCATTTTACTAATGTTTTCTCTGCTAAAGAGAATATGCTTTAGATCAAAAGGACAGAACAAACATGGCTAACTTCCTAGTTGATATGTAAGAAAAGAGCTAGTAACACTGCACTCTGCTTGCCCTGGATAGGTTCAAATCACCTGACCCAGATGAATTGCTGAAAGGAACTAACATATAATTGCTGAGCCACTGTTAGTGACCTTGGACAGATTACAGAAAATGGGAGGGAGCACTACAGAACTGGACAAGGACAAGGACATATGTCCTGATTTTAAAAAGGCTGGGAGGGGGGGCAGAGAATTGATGGTCCAAAATATAGTCTAGGAAGCTTGATTCTGATTTCTGGCAAAACTCTGTATTATTAAAAAGATAGTTAGTGGGAAAAAAAGAAACAATAATTACAAAAACAGGTTGTGTCTGCCTAATCTTTTTTTCCAACAAGCTTACCAAACTGGTAGATCAGGAGGACATGGGCATAATTTATTTAGATTTTAGCAAAGGACCTAAGAGTCTGTCATACTTTTATTGTACAAAAGATATATACAAGCCAATCGATTGTACAATGAGGAGGCTATGAAACTGGTTGGATGGCCAGCACAAAAAAATCATTTGGAAAGAGGTCTCCTATAGCATACACTAGGTTTCTATGCTTGGCACTGTGCTGCTTAACATTTTTATCCAAGACTTGGTTAAAAACTTATCAAATCTGCAGGTGACACAAAGCTGGTAATAAGTAAATGGGAAGCACAGCTAACACACTGGATAACAGAGTCAATACTCAAAAAGGTCTTGATGGACTAGAAGACTGAAATGAATAAAATGCTATTGTAATTTGAAGTTTAATAGAAGTTAATGTGAAGTCTTACATGGGCTCAAAAAAATCAACTTCATAAGTAAAATATAGGAGAGGCATGACTAGATAGAAGTTTATGTGAAAGAGATATGGGAGTTTTAAGAAACTGCAAGCTCAACATGAGTCAACAGTGTTATGATGGCCAAATAAATTACCATGATTTTAGGCTGACTTGAGGGGAATAGATACCAAGACAAGAGGGGATGCGGTCATTCCCATCTTCTACCCTGGTCACACCACATCTGGAATGTTGTGTTCACTTCTGGGTGCCGCATTTTAGGAAGGACCTTGAAAAGTTGGAGAGTTTCCAGAGGAGGACAATTAGAATGGTGAAAGGCCTTAGCTTTGTGCACTAAGAGGCTCAACAGAAGGAATTTAAGGATGCTGAGAAAAGAGACATCTTAAGGGAGATGCGATAGCTGTCTTCAGTTATCTGAAGAGCTGTCAGATGGAAGAGGGATGAATCTTGTTCTTTTTGGTACCTGAGGAGAGAACTTGGTACAGTGGCTAGAAGGTGACAAATTTAGGTTTGATGCCAGGAAAAGCTTCCTAACAATGAGAGCTGCCTAGAAGTGGCCTCAGCTGATTTCAAGAGGGATTCAATTGGAGGTCTTTAAGCAAAGGAGAAAGAACCACTTGGGAGTTCTGCTGCAGATGGAATTTTTTTTTAGGTAGGGGTCAGACTAGATATCCACAAGATCCCTTCCAACTCTGAGATTCTGTGAATTTCAAAAACTATATATACATAAAACCTAGCTATTGAAACTGAAGTTTTCATTACAATTACTAATTAACATTTAATAAGCATATTCTTGCAATTACCTAAGCCACTGGAACAACTAAGGTTGAACAGCCAAGAGTCAATGCTACTTTTTATGAAATTATCACACTTTAACACTTCAGAAGATTGATAATGTCACCTTTATGGGTATTTCCTCTTACAAATGCAGATCCCAAACCTTCAGGGAATAAGCCTCTTCATGAGCTGTGGTGGCTCTTAGATTAAGACGTGGAGTCTAGTGCTGCACTCAAAGCCTTTTACCTCTAGAGGGCCAGCCAGACTAAGAATACAAGTTAAGAATCCAAGGCCACTTCTATGCCTTTGTGAGGCAGACTGGAACATCAGTGGGATTTAAAGATATACCACTGGTAATAAAATGTATCAAAGACATTTTTTGGGGTAAGGGCAGGGGGTTGCAAAGAAACAGGCATAGAACTATGGACTGGTGCAAACTTTTTTTTTTTACTATTTTTTTTTAGGCAGTTGGGATTAAGTGACTTGCCCAGGGTCACACAGCTAGTAAGTGTCAAGTGTTTGGTCTGAGGCTGGATTTGAACTCAGGTCCTCCAGACTCCAGGGCCGGTGCTCTATCCACTGCGCTACCTCGCTGCCCCTGGTGCAAACTTTCTAAAGAGGAATCTGGCAACACACAATAAAAATTGCTCGTCTCTGCCAGGTATGGGGAATCTGTGGCCTTCTAGGTCCTTAGGTGCAGCCTTTTGAATGAGTCCAAATTTAACAGAACAAATCATTGTACTAAGGGGATTTGCTCTATGAAGTTTAGATTCAGTCAAAGAGCTGCATTTGAGGACCTAGAGGGGGCCACTCCTGGAACCTATACCCTTTCATCCAGTGATACCACTGAAGAATCTTTACTGTAAAGATATCATTGAGGGGGAGGAGGAGCACAAGCCCAGCTATGTGGCGCAGAGGATAGAGTACCGGTCCTGAAGTCAGGAGAACCTGAGTTCAAATCCAGCCTCAGACATTTAGTAGCTATATGACTCCAGGCAAGTCACTTAACCCAAATGCCTTTTAAAAAAAAAAAAAGGTGAGGGAGGGGGAAGGATTTATCTGTACCCCCCCCAAAAAGGCTCTTTTTATCTATAATACTGAAAACAATTTGTTATGTCTAATGTACTGGGGAAAATCTCATATTATTTTGTTATATGAAAAATAACATTATGGCCCTACCAAGTTATGAGTATGATGGAAAGGAAATATAATATCAAGACATACAAAGTGTTTCAAAATATAGTAAATAAAATAGGAACAATGTAAACAATGACAAGAAGTATGTGCTTTTTGAAAGGACAGATAGAGGAAGATTTAAAAGGTGACAGAGCCAGATGTACTGAGGTTTCTTGTTTGTGTTTTGTTAGAAGGTAGGTTTTTATATAATTTTAAAAGTTTAATTAAAAAAGAAATAGTTCAAGTTTAGGAGTTTTATTTGGAGAATTAATCCCATATTTAGTTAAATTATTTATTAGTATTTGTTTTAAACATTAAGTTTATAATAATAAAAATTATATGAAATATAAATTGAGGGCCTTTACCTTCTATTGCATCAGCACTAATCACATGACTGGCAATAGGTTCAGGATCCAAATAAGCTCTCCCCAGACTTGGGCCAATGGTCGCCACACTCTCTATAGTTTAAAGGACAAAAGGTTAGAGTTCTGACCTATATAAGTTATGGGTTGAAAAATAACAATGTTTTTCACAGTAATACAACAGATACTTGTCACAGCTTAGGTAACCTATCCTCTGTAAGTGCCCTAAAACTATAGGAATAATCAATGTTTCCTTTGTTCTATAAGTCACCAATATCATGACTAGTAAAATACTTTGATATTTCAAGGCCCTGTCTTTTGTGATGACTCCATCTATTGATATAAACTACAATACTTAGATGACTTAGCAGACAGTCTTTTAAGGATGGCTTTAGGGGCAGCTAGGTGGCACAGTGGATAGAGCACCAGCCCAGGAGTCAGGAGGACCTGACTTCAAATCTGGCCTCAGGCACATAACACTCACTAGCTGTGTGACTCTGGGCAAGTCACTTAACCCCAATTGCCTCACTAAAAAAAAAAAAGAATGGCTTGGGCCAAAAAGGTTATACCATGACAACCAGTCTAGTGATAAGGCTTTTCCAAGCATAGGAGGCCAGTCCTTGGATGGCAATGTGGATTCAGTGCTGGAGACGGTGTCAAGAAGACCTGGGTTTGAATCCTAATGAGTTATGTGACCCTGGCCAACTCACTTAAGTTCTGTCTTATTTTCCTCCTCTGTAAAATGAGGGAAGTGGGCCAGATGGACTTCTAAGATCCTTTCTGGCTCTACTCTAAAATTCTAAGTCAGTACTAGACAAGACTTACTGGAGTTCACATGCCTCTCCACAGCCTTTAAGAACCCAGTCACCTTAATTCCACAGTGATGCCCTTGTAGAGGATTTTAATGGAATAATCACAAAATGTTTTAAAAATTAGTTATTACTCTTCTCTTTTTTACCATGTTTATAATTTTTACAACTTCATTTCCTCTTTCAAGTTTTTCTGATTTAACAGTGTCAACCTTTCTTCCATAGCCAGTCTTATCTGCCCATTCCAATAGACAGACCTGAACTACATGTCCTATAGGCATCTCAAACTCACTATGTCCAAAACAAGACTCATTTTCCCCCTGAAAACCACCCTTTTTCCAAACTTACCTTTTCTGTTGAGGACATCATCTTTCCAGTCACCCAGGTTAACAAAATCAGTGGCATTCTTGACTCCTCAATCTCCCTTCAAATATCAATTCAGTTGCCAAATCTTTTTCCATAAGATATCTTACATCTGCTCACACTTTCTCTCCACTAACATGATTATCATCCCAGTTCTGATCCTCTTTGACCTCTCATTTGGAATAGTGGGTAGTGGGTAGCCGGGCCTTGAATCAGGAAGACTCATGTTCCTGAGTTCAAGTTTGGCCTCAGACACTTACTAGCTGTGTGACCCTGGGCAAGTCACTTAACCTTGTTTGCCTCAGTTTCCTTATCTATAAAATAAGCTAAAGAAGGAAATGGCAAACCATTCTAATAGCTTTGCCAAGAAAACCCCAAGTGGGGTCATAAAAAGTGGGACATGACTGGAACAACTCAAAGACATTTGGTCTCCCTGCCTCACGTCTCTCACACTAGATGTGAAAGTGATTTTCCTAAAACACAAATCTGACCACGTCACTACCTTAGTCAATAAACTCCAGTGACTTTCTATTAGCTCTAGGATCAAAAGTGAACGGTTCTGTTGGAGCAGTGGCCTCAAGGCCACTTCCAGTCTTATTACATATTTCAGTATTCCCCTTCACACACTCGGGTCAACAAAACTGTCCTTCCTCTTCCTGACACATGAAATCCCTTCTCCAGACTCCATGCCTTTTCACTGGCTGTCCTCCATGCCTGGAATGCCTTTCCCTCTCCCCTCTCCCTTTTGGAATCCCTAGTTTCCTTCAGGGATTAGCTCAAGCATCACCTTCTCTATATGAAGCCCTAACTGATCCCACCAGCCATGGGTGCCTTTCTCCCAATATTATCTTGTATCTATTTTGTATCTCTCTACATATGTGCATGTTATCTTGCTTGTCAATGTCCCCATGGGTAGGGTCTCTGTATCTCTAGCACTGGCCTGTTCTGGCAAGCCTTTAACAAATGCTTGTGGATTATTTTTCCATCTACATGCCTGTAAGAGTGGCTGTGGTTTTTTATCAGGAAAAAAAAAAAGCCAATGGTATTTGTAATTCTGAATATCTTCTGTACCAAAGTCTTTTAGGGATCTATCTAGTTTTCTTCAAAAATAGCATGTTGAACTCTGCTTTTTTTTTTTTTTAAACCAAAAGTCAAGTAAGCACATTTGTTTCTGCTTCCAAGACACTTGGTGTCAAGAGAGACATGGGTTCTCCTCCTAGCTCTGCCCCTAACTCACTCTGGAACCTTAGGCAAGTCATTTTACCTTCTGGCCCTAAGTTTTCTCATTTGAAAAACACAAAAGATGGAGAAGATCTCTGAGGGCCTTTCCAGTACTAAAGTTGTATGATTCCTAGTTTTTCTTTCTACTTTTGTCATTGGGCATTGCGTATTTATGCTCAGATAAGAAAACTGGCATTCCCAATATTTCATTCAAACAAACTGACATTTTTTGCAGTCAGATTTACTTTTATGATATAATAGAAACTCACATTTACATGATATTTCCGTTAAAATAAAAATTTACATGTATTATTTCATTTTGTACTCACATCAACCCTATGAGATAGAGTGTATAAATACTGTACTGGAGGTTACTTGTTGAATGCGGTTAAGTTACTTATCAAATGAGGCAATATTTGTAAAGCATTTTAGCACAGTGCCTGGCACACAGTGGGCACTATATCAGCGCTTATTCCCTCCCCTTCCTTTCCCTCAGGCTCACTGATCAGAGACTTAGAGCTAAAAAAATCCTTAGAAACCCTCTAATCTAACCCCCTCATTTTACAGTTGAGTAAACTGAGGCCTGCTGAAGGCCTCATAAAGTAGTATGGCAGAAAGTAGTAGATTCCTAACTTGAACCCAGACTTTTTCACCTCTATTTGAAAGTTACCAAGAATATGGTAATCAATTGGAATTCCAGCACTGACTGGCCATATCTACCTTTATATTATAAATTAAAATCAAGCTGAACATGACAGGTAGCAAAATATACATTCCTCTCTCACTCTCCCAAAAATGTCTATTAAGTTATTTACTGCTTATCTAAATGGGAAGGGAGAAGAAAATACAATCTTAAAATATTAGATGTTTTCAGTCCAAAAAGACAAAGGCTTCATGAATGGTAATATGATATAAGGGCAAGATAACTAACCCTAGGACAGAAAATATGGGATCCAGTTTTCTCTCTGATTTCCTTCTCGTTCTTGTGACCCTCAACAGGTCACTTCACTTCCTTAGGCTTCAGTTTCTTCATCTGCAAGATGAAAGGGCTGGACCAGATGACCCCTGAGAGCCCTTCCCACTCCTGACCCATGGTTCTGTGACTGAGGCTTATGAAACTATGATATGTATATCTCATTCACAAACTCACAAAATGAGGTACCAGAATCTGAGGGTCCCAAAGCAATCTGAAGTCTCCAAGTAAATAAAAGCAACTATCACTTTATACACTAGGCAGTAAACTTATGGAACTCATTATCCTGAATTAATTTATTAAGCATTGATTAAGAACTATTGTGTGCTCAGAACTATCAAAGATTCATGAACGAAAGACACAAAGCAGGTTACCAAAGGCATTGAGGGATTATTATGGTACATTCCTAAAATTCTGAGGCAGCTGTCATGGGAAGCAATAGCTCTCATATACATACATATATATATATATATCTCCTATAAAATATACATTAGGGTACATGTTAAGAGTCAGAACACGGGGCTGAGGACATCACTGACATAGGTCAATACCAACACATCTTATAGCTAGACAGAGCCTTAGAGATCATCTGGTCCAGGGGTGGGGAACCCTTGGCCTCAAGGCCACATGTGACCCTCTAGGTCCTCAAGTGTGGCCCTTTGACTAAATCCAAATTTCACAGAATAAATTCTCCCACCAGATTCTGGTCTAATCCCTTTCACTTGATAAATGAGTAAACCAAAGGCCAGAGATGACTTAAGTGACAACCAAAGTCACATAACTAATTGGTAGCAGGACCACGACACTAACCCAGATCTGCTGTTCCAGGTTCAGTCTAATTCCACTGACTGGCACTGTTTTTATGGCTGGCACATAATGGTGAACACATAATTGAAACCAGAACCGACACACGTAGCAGCTTTCGGTTCCTTCGCCTGCCTTAGAACAGCACTTGCGGAGACTTTCACTAGTCGAACCCACACTCACCCTTTGTCCAGCTGTAGGTGAATGCAGGATCGTAAGTCTGAACAGCCACTTCTTTCACTAAGAGTCTCCTTACATTCTCTCTCCACTTCTGAGCAGGCCCTTCTGACTCTGTGGGAAGGTCTCTTTGAGAATATGAAGGGCTCTCAGACAAAGACTCCAGTGTCTTGTCTAATGACTCTGGGGAACAGGCTGTTTGCCCAGATACTGTGGAAGTTGGAGATTTTTCAAAATCTTCAGAATACACTGAGTTTACAGAACTGTCCTGAGATCCAGGAGATGGTGACCTCCTGCTGGAAATACTTTCCTCTCTAGAAAAGGTGACAGGCTCCTCATTCACATCCTCACACAGTTCACTTGCAGTGTGACTTTCCTCTTCAGTAGCAATAGAAGTAATGTTCACACTTGTCTCTGGGTTCATTTCTTTGGCAGTTCTTTCCTGTATACTTTTTACAGCGGACACATTTGTTTGTAATTCTTTGCTTGGTTGTTTTATTTTGTGATCATCTTCCTAAAATAAAAAAAAAGTAACTTGGAGGTAGGAACTAGGAAAGTTATTTCTATTTATTTATTTATTTATTTTTTAAGCAATTGGGGTTAAGTGACTTGCCCAGGGTCACACAGCTAGTAAGTGTCAAGTGTTTGGTCTGAGGCCAGATTTGAATTCAGGTCCTCCTGACTTCAGGGCCAGTGCTTTATCCACTGTGCCACCTAGCTAGCCCTATGAAAGTTATTTCTAAAAGATTAGGATTATAGATTTAGAGCTGAAAGGGAGAACATCTAATTCAACTGCCTCATTTTGTGAAGAAGATACTGAGACCCAAAAAAAGGAAGCAACCTCTCCAGGGTCACGCTGGGAATAGGCAAGTATTATAATTCAAACCTAGGTCCACTAACTCCAAACACCCTGCTTTTTTGACTACATCATGCAGCCTCCCACATCTAATACATACGATATAACATAAGAGGCAGCATGCTGTGGTGGCCAGAGCAACAAGACCAGGGTTCAAGGCCTACCGGACACATACTGGCTGGCCAAATCAACCTCTCCATGCTCTGAGTCAGAGGTGTCAAACACCCGCTAGAGTGCTCCCAGTGCAGCCCAAACTAGACTAAAATGTAGTTGGGAATTTACTTAACAAAATAAATAAAAATACAATTAGAATACAGATAATGTTAATATGTGTTTTTCTAAATCCATATGCAGCCACAGGGATCCTCATGCACCACATAGCAGTCCCCATTTCTATCTGAGTTTGACACCCCTGGTCTAGACTTCTTAAACTGTGGGTCACAAATGGAAAAAGTTTAAGCAGCCCTGGTCTAGATAACTCTAAGACTTATAAGCTGCAGAGAAGGCTAACCTATATTAATAGAGGATGTTTCCACACCCAGGAATTCCCTATAACAAAAAATTCCAAGGTCCAGTCCCTTATCCTTATTTGAAACAGTAACTATTTACAGGAAGTCTTACAAATGTAATACCATATATTAGAATATCTATGAAACTATATTATTACAATTAGAGTCCTTTAAGTGTTGCTTTGCATGTCTTTAGCATGAAACATTTATAGAGCAATTCAGTTATAGGAAGTATTCCTCATTTGCTAAACAATGCTGTCTTATCTTGTTATTACCTAAATGCAAGCCACTACAATTAACAACTCTCCCATATGACTGTTAAAACTTAAAAATCAGCTTCTGTCTTTACTTACTTTTTGTCCGAGTTTTGCTTTCTCACTGACATCATCTGGAACCAAATCATCAAGGGATAAAATATTTATTTTAAAATCTGTCATTGAAAGATGAATTGGTTACAATGTGAAAGCAAAATATAATTTTTAAAACGTAAGGTAAACAATCATTTAAGCATATCATTTTTATAAACATGACAACAGCAAAGTTAAAGGGAGAGGAGAAATCTGGGAGTCAAGAGTCTGTTCTAATCCTCGTGTTCCCAGACTTTCCCAGACTTGGAAAATCAGTCTTCACATCTTCAGGGCCCAGTCCTTCAAGGGCAGAAAAAGGGCTAATGTTCCACGGGAGAAAAAAGTAAGGTTCAACTGAAGCCAGCCCCCTGCAAGAACAACATGAGATGACACTGCCTCTTGGCTCCTCCACAGCTACCTGGATCCTGTTTGTTCTTCGGTATACAAACCAAATCTCACCTCACTGAGAACGTCTTTCCCGACCACCTTATTTTATCCTAAAGCTATCTCTGTCCTGAGACTTCCCAGAGCATTACTGTTTATATAGTTGCTACGACAATTCACCATGCACAGAAATACCACAGATTAAAAAAAATCATCTGGAAAGAAATTCATTTCCATGAGAGGCAGCTCAATGACACAGTGGATAGATTATTGGACTCAAGAGTCAGAAATCTCCAAGTTTAATCCTATCCCAGATACCTATAAGCTGTATTACTCTAGAATCGGGATGACAATAGCACCTATCTTACAGGGTTGTTGTTATGATCTAAGGACAGCTCGTGTATAAAGCACTTTGCAAACCTTAAAGCACTACATTAATGCTGCTATTATTATATTAGCAATAATAATTGAGCAAACATTTTAAAATGTACATTCTTTGTGCAAAGTACAGTGTTACACATTAGGCATACAAAGACAAAAAACAAAGAGCCTTTCCTCCTCAAAAAACATCTATTCTACTGAAAACAAAGCCTTTAACAGTTGGCCTGTAGAGGGAGAGGAGAACAGGCACAAGTTGTGGCAACCTCAGCAAAGTATCACTAGTAAATTCAGAAGACAACGAGGAGGTCAGGGTGCAACCTCAGGTGCAGGCATGCACTGGGGCCCATGTGGTCTTTCCACCTGGAAAAGGGCAGAAAGTCTGGTTCTTGATCCCTATGCTACCTATATAATTTCTACCACTGGTAACAAAGTTTATGACAACCAAATGTGTAGTTGGAATACATCTCCTCCTAAACAGGAATTGCACATCACTGCCTTGTGACACAGTTTCTATTTTATCTTAAACTGCCACTCAAAGGGCTGATTATTATCTAGCTTCTACCTTGTGTCTTCTCCTTCCCCCACCCCAAATCTCCCCACATACAACTAGTGGAACAAGAGTAATAGGAGCCTGGTTCATACTTCTCATATGGTACACCTGGTACACACACCTGACGTAGTACAGGGTTATGGAAGGAATAGATAGATGCTCCACGTGTGACTTGGTTTTTATTGAGGAAAATTTTTTAAGTCACACAGCAAGAAAATAAATGTTTTCAAACATAACCTTTAAGTACCATCTTTCTTACCATTCCCTTCTGTCTTTTTGGCCCTAATACTGAACCCAAGTATGTATTCATATTGACTGAGTTTTTTACTAAATTTAAAATACAGGTGAATTTCTCCTTTGCAAACTCTATTAAATTACTTTTTACTTGGATCTAGCCCTTACCCAATTTCTTTGTTGGGAGTCAGGAACCCTTGAAAGAAGGTTCCCAGGCTTACTTTGAGGGGCACTGTTCTATTAGGCCAAGTGCTACCTTCCTCCAGGAATTACTCTTTGAGGGCAGGGACTGCTCTGTTTTTATCTTTGTATCCCCAGGACCTGTTATAGTATGTTGCACATAGAAGATGTATAATAATTTTTTGTTAAATGGGATACAGAAATACTAGCCTTATGTTTTGAGTAATAATAATTCAGCTTATAATAAATAACATATTAGACTAAACGTTACCATTTAAGCTATCACTGCATGCTTCAGAGAACAACTCATCCAATGATCCAATTTCAGTCTCCTCGGGTGAGAATGCTAGCTTTATGTGTTCCATTTTAGGGGATGTTGGCCTTGAAAAATAATGCATTATCGAAAGTGATGGTGATCTTAAAGTTTTGTTAGCTGAAAAGCCATTCTGTGGGGAAGGAGCTCTTGAAGGGCTATTATGGGAGGTTGTTTCTTGACAGCTTTCCTCAGGCAGGCATAATGTTCGAAAAAGCTTGAGACCAGAAAATTCTTCGTTGGGTGGAGAAAGTGGACCTGGTGGACTCAGAATCTCGTCCTAATTTCAAAGGAACAAAAGTCATGGTAATTAACTTTAGATATTTCACAAAAAAAATGCTGCCATGTTAACATTAAACCATTAAATTAAAGAAAGGCAACTTTTCAATCTCAAATACAAATCTTTTGTTTGAATAAATCAACAAATATGTATCAAGTGCCTACTAAAAGCCAGGCACAGTGCATGGTGTCAAAGACATATGTAACAATTCTTGCCCTCGAGGAGCTTACATCCTATCAATGAACACTGCAGGTACATACACCTCTAAGTATACACCAAACATAAGGTAGTTTGTAAAGAAGAGCCCTGGTAGTTAGCTAAGATTTGAAGGGCCAAAAATGGAAATGAGGAGGGAGTACATTTCAGTCATAGAAATTTGCCAGGCCAAAGCAAACAGAGTGTCATGTATAAGAAAGAAGCTGCCCAGTTGTGGCAAGAGGAGGGACGTATAATGAGGCTGGAAAGGGAGGCTGGGGCCAGGCTGTTAAATGCCAGACAGAGAAGTTCTTATTCAACCCTAGATCACCAGAAGCTTTTAGATCACCCAGAAGAATTGTAAATAAGGGCTTATTAGTTATATGAGTGGAAAAACTGCCTTATTTACACTGGAACCTAGTGCTTTGCATATATCAGGTACATAATAAATGTTTGTAGAATGAGTGAAATACCAGTTTCTCCTATGAAACGTTCTTTTAAAGTAACATAGAGGCAACTTCTTCTGCAAGAAGTTCCTAATAGTATAACTTGGTAAAGGACAAAAAAAAAAAAAATAAAATCCCATTTTAAAATGGAAAGTGAGTAACACCTTACCATAGATAGTGCCTTATATCCATCCTCTTTAAGTTTAGTGTTCATAAGAACAGCATTCTGAGATGTCTCTTTGTCACTGAAAGGCTTCACGAAGTTTCCCAGCAACAATTTCATTTCCTCTTCATCACTATCCGGAGAAACCATCTTTCCAACTGGCTCTTTCTGTTTTGGTGGTTGAGAACTCTTGACATTTCCAGACTCTGCTGTACTGGCTATATTTTCAATGGCTGGACCTTTCTTCTTCAGAAATCGACTCACTCTTTCATTGCTACTAGCAATGGGAACTTCATCCCTGCATTGCCAGGGAATGTCACTTACATTCTTCAGAGAAAGGGTATCAACTCTCTGATTCAAAGAAACGTCATCAGCATTTTTCCCATCTGTATCGATGTCAGACAAATCAACTTGCAGTTTTCGGCTCATTATTTTAGTTTCTATTTGTGCTAATTTCATTAAAGCTGCATTAGCCCTGATCTTGGAAGCGGTAGTCAGTGGTCTACTTAGAGAGGTCTTGCATCCCATCTCCCTTACAGTACTACCCTTGAAGAAAAACTGGTTTTCATCAACATTTTGCTTCCTCTTTAGGAATCTGCTTTGGCTAAATGGTGTCTTAGCAAGGCCTTCACCTTTGAAGACCCTATTCTGAGTTTGTTTTATCCTCATATCTCCTATGGAAACATCACTGGAATCATAAAACAAATCACTAGCTAAGTGGCTGGTGTTTAACAAGCTGGCTTTCCTTGCTGCTGACATCCTAGAAAGGGAGGAAATGGAGAGAAAGAGGCCTTTACTCATTCCTTCTCAGTGCAGTTAAGAGTTCAGAAATTTGAATTCAAATTCTATACTCTAATACCTACCTTTAAGGACAAAGTCTGATAATTTCACCAAGTGTCTGTTTCTTATTTGGCAAAAATCAATCTCTTAACTTGTGGAGACAGGCTACCATAGTAGTCTTGGAGTAAAAAGACCTGAGTTCAAGTTCTGGCTCTGCCACTTACTAGTTGACAGGACTTTGTGCAAGTCACTAAACAATCTGGACCTCAGTTTCTTTACTTATAAAAGGAGGATAATCATATTTGTGCCACTCCACCCCAACACTGTTATGAGTAAAGCTTAGAGTGATACAGAAACATCAGCCACTGCTATCCAACAAATGCTTACTGAGAGCCTACAGAAAGTGGCCCAGATGATTTTTTGGTAAAGGTCCTTGGATTTGAAGTCATAGTTTTTTATTTTTTTATTTTGGGAGTTTTTGAGTACATGAAGTATGGCCTGTGTTTATTTAAGAAATCTTTGAAAAACAATGCCATTGAAAAGGTTCACAAAAGAATCAACATACATTTATGGATTGGAGTCTCAATTGTGCACCCTACTATACTGCTGTGGATAATTTCATCCCTGCATCGAGTCTCTGTTTCTTCCCTGTAAAATATGGATTGGAGATCTCTAAAGCCCCTTCCAACTCTAAGATCCTAGCACAGGGCCCTGCACCTAGCAGGGAATACCACACTGAATGGTACACAAAGAGAAAGAAAATGCACAGCTTGCATTCCACATATTTAAAGCCACTGGAGGAGATGACCACAGTGAAGAAAATAATTCAAAGCACAGTGAGTGAATGAAGAGTACAAACAGCAATTCAAAAATTCCTCTCCTCAGATTTTTTAAGGTCTATGAGTATACCACAGTAAACACAGAATCACAAATCTGAGAGCTGGAAGTAATTTTAAGGTTACTGACTTACTATGATTAGCCAGGAGAAGAAAAAACTATGGAATTCTAGCCTCGGGAAATCAGTGCTTGGCCCTGTGCCATTTAAAATTTTTGTCAATGACTTGGCTACACTAACCAAGTTTGCAGATGACACAAAATTAAAGAGGACAGCTAACTACACTGGAGGGCAAAGTCAGAATCCAAAAAGATCTTGACAGGCAAGAGTATTGGGTTGAATCTAATAAGAAGAAATTCAATAGGGATAAATATAGGGTCTTACATTAGGAGTAAAAAATCAACTTCACAAGTACAAGATGAGAGTCGTGGCTACTGAGATTCTGAAAAAGATCTAGGAGTATTATTAGTGAAATGCAAAGAAGCACAATATGATTCAGAAGAATGATGTGGTGGCCAAAAAAAGCTAATTTATCTGGGGCTACATTAAGACAGGCAGATTTCAAGAGTAAGGAGATAGTGCTCCTTCTGTTCTCTGTCAGTCAGTAAACATTTATTAAGCACCTACTAAGTATCAGACAAAGATACAAAGAAGGCACAAAACAGTCTCTGCCCTCAAAGAGCTTACAGTCTAAAGGGGGAGAAAACATGCAAACAACTATGTACAAACAAGCTACAGATAGGATAAATGGAGATAATCAACAGAGGGAAGGCATTAGAATTGAGGGAGACTGAGAAAGCCTTCTTGTGGAAGGTAGAATTCCAGCTGAGATTTGAAGGAAGCTGAAGGACTACTAAAATGGGAAAAGAGATTCCAGGTTTGGTAGGGGGGTGGAGGGGGGAGAAAGATCCAGTGAAAATGCCCAGAGTTGGGAGATGGAGAGTCTTCTGTGAGGAACAGCAGGGAGGCTACTCCAGATCCTTGGATCACAGTGGGGATTAGGGGGGTAGGTTAAGATCTTAAGGTGTCTCTCCTCTCAGACCTCATCTGGAGTATTATGTTTAATTCTGGGTGCCACAATTTAAGAATGACATTAAGCTGGAGAGTGTCAGGAGGAGGGCAACAAGGATGGTGAAGGGCCTCTAGTCCATGTCGTATATGAGGAAAGGTTGAAGAAACTGAAGATGTTTGACCTGTAGGAGACTGGGTTTGGGGTGGAGAGAGATTGGACGTGACAGTTATCTTGAAGTATCTGAAGGACAACGGTCATGTGGAAAAGGGAATAGACTTGTTGGTTCGATCAAAGAAATTAGGAAAAACAGCAAAGGATTAAAGTTTCAGAGAAGTCAGTATAGGGATTGCTATCAATAAATACTTCTTAAACAATGAGAGTTGTCCTTCCTCCATATGGCAGATCTTCAAGAAAAGGCTGGATGACCATCTGTTGGCTGGTATCATGGGGTGAGGACTGTTCTTCAGTATTGGTTAGACTAGATGGCTTCTGAGGGCCCTTCCAACTCTGAATTTCTTCAATTCATACTTGTATAGAAATGCCCCTTAAAACAGCCCCAACAAAGATTTCAATCCAGTCTTAGACCTACACTGAAAAAACAAAGTACTTTTCTTATAAAATTCCTTTAAAACGGGTAACGCAAATCTCTTTATCCTTATTTTTACATACGGAAATAGTGAGATCCAGAGAGATGAAAGCAGCCTCTGTCCCAGGTCAACTAGCCCCAAATTTTGTGGCACAGAATACAAACAAAGGTCTGGCCTCAGAGTCCAACACTTTTGACTGCCGTTACATCTCTTTTCCACTCCTCCTAAGAATCGTATTTCACTATATTTATTGTTAAGAAGTTCCATCTTCCATTAAGCCTAAACCTGTGTCTCTCAAACTTCCATCCATTTCTTCCTAATTCCCACTGAGTCTTCTCTTTTCCGGGCTAAACATAATATGTCAGTCAACAAATATTTATTAAACCTGTAGTATGTGCTAGGCACAGTGCTAAGAGCTGGGGATACAAAGGAAAACAAAAGATAATTCAATACTTTAAGGTTTGCAAAGCCCTTTATAATACATTATTTCACCCCATGCTCACAACCTAGGAAGCAGGTGCCATCATTATCCCCATTTTACAGATAAGGAAACATGCCAAAACAAATTAAATGACTTGCCCAAGATCACACAAGCTAAGTAAGTGTCTGAGGCCACATTCGAATTCAGATCTTCCTAATTCCAAGTCCTGTGCTCTACCCACCCCGGCACCAGTTCCTTTTACCAAGCATCCCATGGCACCTTCAGAGAGCCTTTCACCACCCTGGCTGCCCGGCTCCGAGTGTTCTTCTGCTTTTATACGGCCTTCTTAGACCCTGGTACGCAGAAATTTACTATGACACAACCACAGCAGAAGACAGCGGTCACTATCGTCTCCTGGTCATTTCATTCATTCATTCATTCATTCATTCATTCATTCAACAAGCATCGATTTCTTCCTGGTCGCTACACCTCTTCTTAACAAGGCCTCAGATACTAGCGCTCTGGGCTGCCACGTCATGCGGTAAATTCATCTCGAGCTTGAAGTCCACTAAGACCCCTAGATCTCGTCTTGCTAACCCTCGTTTCTTCTCTCACCCCACTCCTCACCCTGGGAGCCTAAGGGAGGCTGGAGTCAGAGGTCAGCCTAGAACCGAGCACGAGACCTCCTCCTCCTCCTCCTCCTTTTGCTCCTCCCTTCCCCGAGCGAGCGACCCCGCTTCTCCCTCCCCACCCACAGGCCGCGGGGCTTCTGGCGCTCCTCGACCTCCCTACGTCCGAACGTCAAACCTTCTCCCGCTGTCTCCCCCATTCTAGGCCCCTCCCACCCTTTCCTCCTCGTGCTATACACCGACCTCTTCCTTGGGTTCGCCTCCTTGAAGGCCCAGTCCAATCTGAATCCTCCGTATACCAATCCCCCGGCCCAGGGCCGGAGGGCCCAGTACTCAATAACGGTGTCTCTTGGCAACAGAATCGGACTTCCGGCCTCGCGCCGCTGGGCGGGAGGTGGGGGGGAGGGTCGAGGACAATAAACTACATTTCCCAGCATGCATCACCCCGCGGGCGGCCGGAGCGCCAGGGCTCAACAGCTAGCAAAGCACCATGGGAATTGAAGTTCTTTTTCTTCCCTGTGTCTGGACGCAACGGGTAGCGTCCGCGGAGTTCCCGACAGAGCCAATCAGAGGGCGCCGCGAGACGGAGGGCGGGAAACGAAGAACCACCTTCGAGCGGCCATGGGCTGGTCCGTGTGCCCTGGGCCTCTGTTGGCTCTATGGCTGGTGCGGGTAGCGCTCGCCACCGTATACTTCCAGGAAGAGTTCCTCGATGGAGGTGAATGGGGATGGAGACCTGGGCTCGGCGGGAGAGAAGCCTCCCTTGGGTCTTCCGGACCCCGCCAACGAACGCGCCGAGGCCATGAGAGGGCCTAAGGGAGGCGCCCGGGCCTGTCGGATCCAGGAGGGGCCCACGGCCAGCCCCTGATATATACCGGCCGAATGACCACGGCCAAGCCGCTGCGGTCGCATCTTTGAGCCTCAGGGGCTTCCGTCTCTGTATTTCCAGCACATAGGATCAGGCAGTCGTCAATAAACGTTTAATAAGCACCTACTATGTGCCAGGCACTGTGCTAAGCACTGGGGTTACAAAAAGAGGCAAAAGAGCCCCTTCCCTCGAGGAGCTTACAATCTAATGGGACATAGGAAGTGCTTAATAAATGTCAGGAAACCTGGGGTCAGGTCCCTGCCCAGAGACTTAGAAGATGTGTGACCCTGGGCTAGACACTTCACCCTGCTAGACACCTCAGTTTCATCTTCTGTAAAATGAAGACAATACCTCTAAAAATGTTTTTATGCCCCCACCTGTGATTTCATCCCTCTAGGGGCCTCCTGGCATAGAACAGCCCACCACTAGTACATATCTGTAACTTCTAGAGAGTTCCCCAGGGAACTGAGACATTTCCTGTCTTGATGGCCAGTCAGCCATCTAAGGTGTGGAAGACAGGAGTTGAACTCAGGAGTTTCCTGACTCCAAAACTGGCAGTGTGCCAGCTACTTTGCCTCTCAAATGTTTCTAAAGCTGGTGGGGAAACTGGGTCTAGGAGAGTAGAAGAGGCTTGGCCAGGATTACGTAGGTAAGGTAGGATTATAGGTTGTTAGAACTGGAAAGAACCTTTAGAAAGCATCTGAGCCAACCTAGTTTTACATGAGAGTGGGATAGTTATAGAATGTATACACCTTGAGAATAGGGATTATTTCTCTTTTATATTCACAATGCCTGGCACATAGTGCTAAACACTTATCCTTGTTAGTTGATCAGGTCCCAAATAATATCTTGACAGGCTAGCCCAATGATCTCTTATAAGATGGAATTTAACAGGGATAAATATAAAAATTCTGCCCTTAGATTTTAAAAGAATCAACTAGTACAAAAAGAATCACACTAGTAAATTTTGGCTAGATATCAGTGGTGGTGGGGGGGTGGCAGAATGTAGGTATTTTAGCGTTCTGACCACCACCTCTGGAAAACTGGGTTCGATTCCAGCAGTCACATTTTAGGATGGATATTGACTAGTTGGTACATGGTCAAAGGTCAGGGTGCAGTAAAAAGATGTGGCCAAGTTTTGCTTAAACAAGACTTAGAAGAGTTGTAGTAGTTGTCTTTCAAGTATTTGAAGGGCTATTATGTGAAAGGATTATAGGATCATAGATTTAAACCTGTAAGGAACCTTAGAAGGCATCTAGTTCACCTCCCTCATTTTTTTCATAGGCAAGGAAACAGGCCCAGAGAGGTGATGTGATTTAGTATTACACAGGTACTAAGTGGCAGAGCCAGTACTCAAACCTAGGTCCTCAACTCCCAATTTATCCTTACTTTCATTGTACCAGTTAGCATTGTATCTTTAGAGAAATGGGTAGAAGTTGCAGAAAGATGGATTTCAGCTAGATATAAGGAAAAACTGTGTCAGAGCTGTCTTAGGAGATAAAGGGTTCCCCCTCTAAAGAGATGTTTAAGCTGAGACTGGGTCACCACTTCTTGTAGTTGTAAAGAGTTGTAAAAGAGCTTCCTGTTCAGGTACAATTTAAATAAGATAACTTTTAAAGACTATTCTCTGATCTCAGAAGTGGAGTGGGATCCTAGGTTTGCCCTCCCAAAAATGAATCACTCAGGGTTTCACCCTGAAAATTTGTCGAATAAGTCACCTATGGTTTACCCTTAAAAGGTAGATTATGAGTCATAAATGTTAAATCCTAAGAATTCTTGACCCTTTCACCTTTGAAAAGATTAGTCTCTTCTCAGCTGTAACCTTAATGTCTGACTTGCAATGTTTATTCCTGACTTGCCTTACTCTTTCTTTCTTTCTTTTTTTTTAAACAGAAAGTTGGAGGAATAGATGGATACCTTCCACTAATGACTCCAACTTTGGGCACTTTAGGCTATCATCAGGAAAATTTTATGGTGATATACAGAAAGATAAAGGTTAGTAGTGAACCTTTGATTTAAAATTCCAGCTCTTATTCTGGCTATTTGGTGATTGGGTCCTGTCCACAGTGAGCTGACAGGAATGAGATAGGAGGTCACAAGATAAGGGGAACCCCTGCTTTGTCCACAATCTTTATATAAGCATTTCCTAGATAACAAGAAATTGTGCTGGGGATACAAAGATATAAACAAAGTAACCCCTGACCCCAAGAAGTTTACATTTACTCTCCTTCCTTCCTTTTCTTCATCTGTTGGTGGACCAGTGCAACTATACATTATCCTCCACAATTGAGTCCCTTGCCCCCTTTTCCTGTTGCCAGCTATGACTTGCCCAGCTCCAACCATGAATTACCCTCACAATCTGGTGAGCAGAGCTAGAGAAAACCACAAAACTGTGTTGCCTGGGTTCACTACAAATTTATCTTATGTAATTTCAACTGGACCTCACTGTAGCAAGGCAGTCTTTTATGCCTCCCTAATCCATTTACTAGGTAGTTATGTGATGAAGTGGATAGATTGCCGGACCTGGAATCAGGAAGACTCCTCTTCCTGAGTTTAAATCTGGCCTCAGACACTTATTAACTGTGTGACCCTGGGCAAGTCATTTAACCCTGTTTGCCTGAGTTTCTTCATCTGTAAAATAAGCTGGAGAAGGAAATGGCAAACCACTCCAGTATCTTTGCCAAAAAACTCCAGATGGGGTCACAAATAATAGGACACAACTGAAAGGACTGAGTAACAACAATAGGTGAAGTCACTTTGTATTTATTTTATATAGATCTTGTATTTACTATCTTAAATATGTTGCAGCCTCTCCATAAATGTAAGAAGTTTATGAAGCATCTAGTTCAAGCTGTCAGTTGGAGATGTGTGAATCTGGAGGTCAGGAGAGAGGTTTGGCCTAGATAAAGCAGATCTAAGAATCATCAACATTAGAGGTGATAATTGAAACTATGGGAGCTGATGAGATCACCAGGTGAAACAGTATAGAGGGAGAAGAGAAAAAAGCCCATGGCAGAGCCTTGGGGGAATCCCCATTTTTAACAGGTTTGACATGGGTAAAGAACCAGCAAAGGAGAGAGAGAGAAAGCTGAGTCATGTAGGAAGAGAACCAGGAAAGAGTAAAAACCTAGAGAGAAGACAGTGTTAAGAAGAATAAAATAATAATCAACAGTGTCAAAGGCTGCAGAGAGGTGAAGAAGAATAAGAGCTAAGAAAAGACAATTAGATTTGACAATTAGGATCATTAGTGGGCAGCTAGATGGTGAAGTGGATAGAGTCCTAGAGTCAGAAGGACCCGAGTTCAAATCCAGCCTCAGATATTTACTAGTTGTAGTCTAAGCAAGTCACTAGATCCCAAATTGCCTCCAAAAACAAAAAAGATCATTAGTAACTTGGTAGAGCTGCTTAAGCTGAATGATGAGGTTAGAAGCCAAACTGCAAAAAGTTAATAAGAGAGTGAAAGGAAGTGGAGGCATCTATTGTAAACAGCTTTCTCAAGGAGTTTAGCCACAAAAGGGAGGAAAGATATAGGATGAAAATTAGCAGGGATGGATGAATCAAATCAGGAATTTTTTGAAGATGGAAGAGATGTGGGCATATTTATAGGCAGTAGGGAAGCAGCCAGTAGACAGGGAGCAATTGAAGATGAGTGAGAGAGCAGAGATGATATAGGAAGCACTCTGCTGGAGAATATAGGATGAAATTGAATCACATGTGCATGTAGAAGGCTTGCAAGGAGAAGGGCCATCTCTTCATGTGAAATGGATGAAGGAGGAAACAGTGGCAGAAGGCATCTGACTGACTTCCAGTCTCATATCACCAACTATTTATTGGATATCTCAAACTGTACAAGGCATAGATATTTCAAACTTAGTATTTCCAAAATTGAATTCATCTTTCCACCAGACTCTTCTCTCTTCCTAACTTCCCTATTACTAACAAGTTTTCTCTCACTGATGAGCTGTGTCCCCAAGGAAGGCTACATCTCACAGCTTGGGTTCTAGGGCCTAGAATTCTTTTTTGTTGTTTAGTATTTTATTTTATCCCAATCACATGTAAAAACAATTTTTAACATCTGTCTTTAAAACTTTGAATTCCAAATTCTCTCCCTTCCTTCCTCCCTACCCACCCCATTGACAAGGCAAGCAATTTGATATAGGTTAGTTAATTTGATATAGGTAGTCATACAAAACATTTTCATGTTAGTCATCTTGTGAAAGAAAATATAGACAAAAATCAAGAAAAATAAAGAAAGTTTAAAAAGTAAGCTTCAACCTGTATTCAGACACCATCAATTCTTTCTCTGGGGATGGATGGCATTTTTCATCGTAAGTCCTTCAGAGTTGTCTTGGATCACTGTATTGCTGAGAATAGCTAAGTCATTCACAGCTGATCATCTTACAATATTGCTGTTACTTTGTACACAGTATGTGTCATTTTGTATCAGCTTCTGTAAATCTCTCCAGGTTTTTCTGATACTCCTA